CATTGCTGGGTTTGCAACATGCCTAATCTCTGCATGTGCAGACTCGGAGGAGCCAGCTGAGAGGAACCACTGCCAGCAGCTCGGAGTCCTCCGGAAGGCCTGCTCACCACACCTCCCCTAAGGCCCTTACCGGGCAAGCAGGGCCACAGGAGTCTGCAGAAATGGTTTGGGGAGCTTTACCTGCTCAGATCTTCCTTGCACTGCCCGCTGGGATGGACTCAATGAAAGACACAAATTCCAATTCTCTCATCCCAAATGGAGGAGAGAATTTCACTGATTCTGCCACATCCCATTTCTCCTGACCTGCCCCCATGGCCTTCCTTACAGACACAGGGGCAGTAATGCACATCGGTCATGCAAGTAAGGCTTGATCTTGGTTCTCCAGGCAGCTGGACTCCTCCAAGAATGGAGAGAACCTAATTGTGCAGACCGTCAATAAATAGGTGTCGAATAGCAAGTCCTCTGTAACCCATCGTGTTTCCTTTTTTGCCTTAGCTGCCAGGAGGGTCAGACCTGACTGGAAAGCTAGATCACTAACCATCTTAAAACAGGTTCTTGGTATCATTGGCATTACTCTTTCCCCACGAGGTCTCTGGTTTTTCTGTCTCCCGTTGGGTGTGTGTCTGTGTTATACATCTTCACAGTTCTCTAATGTGATGAAGGTGGGCTGTGAATAAAAATCAGACGTGAAAGGAAGTGGCCTGTAGACCTCTCCACTTGGAGATACAAACGAGTGCTTTCCTCAGAAGCGGATGGTTTTCCTGGCTCCATGTAAGACTCAGGAAAGTGTCTGTGTGCCTTTCTTCCTCTGTCTTTGTCCCTCTCTCGGTCTTCCTCCCCCTTTCCACCTACTTTTTCTCTCCCCTTTCCTCTCCCTTCTCCTCCTTCCTCTTCCATCCTCTCTTCTTCCACTATCACCTACTTTTCTCTATTTCCCTCCCCTCTTTGTGAATCTCTTCCCTGCATGCCCCTGTCTCCTCTCTCCTCTTCCCGCACACCGTGCCCCTTACCTCTGGGCAGCCCGTTAAACATTACCGTTCCTTACAAACCCACAGCACTCGGCCCTGTCCAAGGCCTGGCCCCCACCTCTATCTCATTCACTCCTCGTGCGGATCACCTGGCAGTTAGGGTCATTTCCACATTACTAGGAAGACACTAAGGCCCAGAGAGTTTAAGTCAGTGGTCCCCAGCCTTTTTGGCACCAGGGACCGTTTCGTGGAAGCCAAGGATGGGGTGGAGGTGGAGCCCAGGCAGTTGGGCCAGTGATGGGGAACAGCGGGGTGGAGGGACACAGTTTCTCTCACTGGCCTGCTGGGCAGCCTGGCCCCTAACAGGTCACGGAGCAGGGGTCGGGCCCCCTGGTTTAAGTGATGCGCCCATGGTCACACGGGTGTGCTTTACAACTCACTGTCACACTCAGGCTCCAGGCCTCGTGAGTCAGATTCCACCACACCCTCCACGGCACCTCACTGCCTCTCAAGACCAGCACCCCCTTCCCCCTTGCCTGGCGAAAATCACTGAGAGGGCATCTTAAGAAGAGGATTCAAAACAATACTGCCCACCATGTCTCCCCTTCTAAGGTCTCTTTTAGAGCTGAGATTCTCAACGGGGCCAGCAGGGCATATGTATTAGAGGAGGGGGCGGTGAATGATGACATGGGTCATTTGGAAAATATTTCTTGGGAATGTGCTACGTGCTAGGCAAGGCTGAGACCAGAGTAAGGCAAGCAAGGCCCCCAGGGTGCAAGATTTAAGAAGACACTCACCCCTGGGTTCCATTCTTGCAAGCGCATGGCTCCGAGAGTGGGTGCTCTTCCAGGTTACGCCCTGGCACCTTGCTTGCCTTCTGCTAATGCCACCCTGCCGTCAGGCACTGTTGCAGGTGCTGGCAATCAACGGTGAGCAAAAGGGCCCACACCTTGCCCTTGGGAACTTATAATCTATTACGGGAAACAGATATGAATCAAGCAATCAGGCTAATGAATGGCCATTCTAAGTGTGGACAGGGTATTATGGTGGGGGGACAGCAAGAGCTGAAGGTTGGGGTAGGAGTTTCCATGTGGGTGCAGGTGGAAGACACAGCAAGTTCCCGGGCTTCATAGCGGGGTGGAGCATGGCATACAGGTGAGGCTAGCAGAGGACAGAAGGGCCAAAGCAGGGAAGTTCAATGTAAAATGGTCCCAAGCAATGTGTCTAATACGGTGCCAGAGTGTGCAAATGGCTGACTAAACCAACAATGACAATGACAAATCCAGTCCGGTGGAGAGAATGCAAAGCCTCCCCACCCCCATGAGGTCCCTCCTGTCCGCACTCCTGGTCAGCCTTCCCCCGAGGGATCGCTCAGACTGCGCCTCGCTCCCTTCGAGCTCACCTCGGTGCAGTACAGACACATCTGTGATAGAATCTAATCTTAGCCACATTCTCCGTGCGAAGAAGTCGGAGCACAGAGGTTAGGTAACCTGCTGTCTTAGTTGGCTCAGCTGCCATCACAAAACGCCACAGACTGGGTGGCTTAAACAAGACACTTAGTTCTCCCAGTTCTGGAGGCTGGGAAGTCCAAGGTCAAGGTGCCGACTAACTCTGTTCCTGGTGAAGCCTCTCTTCCTGGCCTGCAGACTGCTGCCTTCCCCCTGCCTCTGCTGGGTGGAGAGAGCAAGCTCTTGCATCTCCTCTCCCCTCGTATTGCAAGGGCAGCAGCCCTGCTGGATCTGGGCCCCGCCCTTAGGACGTCCCTGAACTCTTATCATGTCCTGGCAGACCCTGTCTCCAAATACAGGCACGTGGGGTTTGGGGTATCAACATATGATTTGGGGCGGGCAGCTGTGGGCATTCGGTCCATCACACCTGCCCCGGGGCACGGAGCTGATCACCAGGATTCGAATACCAGCACTGCTGCGCTGGAGCCCAGGCCCGACCATGACACGCAACTGCCTCAGAATGTCCGCGTGTGGATGTTGCCACCCGAGTGAGAGCTCCTCAGGGCACGGGTGTTCAGTGATCCCTTCCAAATGCGTTGGTTCTTGTCCCCACCTGGCAGCTTGATAAGTGTGTTGAGGCCTGAACCACCCCAGGGTGATCCCCGTGATCCCACTGTAAGGGGACCTGGCAGAGGGTATGACATGGAGGAAAACCAGATCTCAGACCTCACGCTTGAGTTTGGGGGTTCTGTTTCCAATTTACTCGGAGAGGGCCCCAGGCTCCAGTACGGACGTCACCAGGAATGGGCTACGTGTCTCTGGGCAACTCACTTGACACCTTCCAGCCCCTAGGTTCCTGCCTCTCACGGGCGGCGGGGGGCTGTCTATCCACGGGCCATGAGATCCGCCAAGCACCAAGCGTGGCACGGGTGGCCGGAGGCAGGGAAGGCTGCAGGCACCAGGCCCCCACCCGAGGCCGCGCAGGTGGGGAAGTGGGGCGGGCGTGCGGTGCGCGGCCGGCGAGTTGAGTGGCAGTGGCGGCTCTGGTGGCGCAGCAGGCCGCTCTGCAGCGGGAGCGCTTCGGCTGCGGAGGCCGGGAGGGCGCGCCGCGCCGTGAGCTGCTCGCGCATTTCACAGACCTGCACCACCACCCGCGGTGCCACAGGGCCGGCCTCCCCCGCGCTATCACCCGCACCAGACGCCCGTCCGGCGCCCCCAGGCCCGCGTGGGGGCAGAGCCCGCGAGAGGGGCTGGAATTCCTCCCAGGGGCCCCCCTCCCGCTGCCCCTCCCGGGTGCTCGCTTCCTCCCGCTCCCCGCGCGCCCCCCTCCCGGCCGCCAGCCAACTGCGTGCCCCCGGGGCCGGCAAGAAGCCACATGCCCCCGCAAGGAATGCCGGGCCTAGCGGGCGGGGGGGCGGGCGCTGGGCAGGGCCAGGCTCGGCCGGGCCGGGCAGGGAGCGCCCCGCCGGGAAGGTTGGTGACAGGGAAAGAGCCAGCCCGAGCCCTCCCGGGCCGCCCGTGTCGCCCCCGAGTTCGACCCGTGCGCCGCCCCGGCCTGATCGCGGTGTCTCACACTTTCCCTGCCGGACACGCGGACGGGACGACCCGCGGGCTCCTGGGCTAAAGCGGGGTAGCTCGGCCCGGTTCGGGCAGCCCCCGCCCCTTTCCGCGCCCCCCCCACCCCGCCCCGTCCCCGCCGGCTCGGAGGAGGGGGCAGGCCGTCATGTTTCCCCACACCCCTCCCTGCCGCCGCTGGCTTTGGGGCCCTGGTGGGGAGCAGGGGGCTGATTAGCCGAGGAGCAGGGGTGTGGCCAGCGGGGCCCCGGGTAGTGAGTCACACACGCTGCTCGCCCAGTCCCGGGGCCAGCGCGGTCCCAGCCCGAGCTGTGCGCTTCCCTGCCCTGGCCCGAGGAGTGTCCCCGGGCTTGGCATGAGGACCCTGGGGTGCCGAGGGAGGGATTGAAGCCCGGCGCAGTGGTGGAGGAGGGCGGTAAGCGGTGACTGGGGAGACTCCCCTAGATAGAGCGGGGTGGGGCTTGGAGTCAGGGCCAGCCCACCCCAGGACCCCCAGGCTCCGCCTGTACCTGCTCTGAGCTGGCCAAGCGGGCCTGGCTGCATTCCCTGGCCGCCCCTGGGCTAGGGGCTTCACCGCGAGGCACTGAGGGCCCATTTCATTAGCCCGCGCCCCTTGGCCCCAGCTGGACTTGAGTCAGTCCCTCCCCTGTTCCTTACTGCAGAGTTTTGTGCGGAGGCTCCTGTGGGTTCCTCATACCCTTTGCCCTTTGATTTTGGGGTCTAGACTGTGCTGTCCAGCTCTGCCTCCTGGCCCGGGCTGCCCCTGGGCCCTGACCCCATGGGGCTGGTGGCTCCAGTCGTCCCCAGGACCAGCCCGGGATAGAAATGGCATTTCCTCTTGGCCAGGCTACAGCTGTTTTTGTTGTCTGTGTTCTCAAGCGCTTCCTCTGGGGATGGCAGGGAGGGTAACCAGACTCCGAGGACCCCCGATTGCCCTCTCTGACACTCACCCCTCTTCTCCTGTCTCTTTGATCCTTTTCCTGTGCTGGCCCCGCCTTCCCGACCCCAGAACAGAATGACTGAGAACATGAAGGAGTGCTTGGCACAGACCAAGGCGGCTGTGGGGGACATGGTGACCGTGGTGAAGACAGAGGTCTGCTCCCCTCTCCGAGACCAGGAGTATGGCCAGCCCTGGTGAGGCCCCTGTGTGGGGACAGGAGATGGGGGAATCCCTGGGCTGGGTCGGTCGGGTTGGTGGGAGACCCTGCAGAAAGTTCCCACTCCCCGCCCACCTTCCTTATCCTTCTCCGCACAGCTCTTGGGACCAGAGGTGAGCACAGGCTTTGGAAAAACCCAGGGAGTGGCCCCAGGAGGCCCAGGCCCAGGCCTCAGGACTCCTCCCTTCCCACCGCCCCCTGCACCGAAGGGGCAGGCTGGCTGGGGCTCCTCCACCTGCCCTGCTCCTGTGGCCTCGGCTTCTCCGCCCGCTGGCCTCTCCGTCTCTGATGGCTTCTTTGCTTTCTTTAATGGCCCCTGTCCTGGCCAGCTCTAGGAGACCAGACCCCTCGGCCATGGAAGTGGAGCACAAGAAACTGAAGGGGAAGCGTGACCTCATCATGCCCAAAAGTTTCCAGCAAGTGGACTTCTGGTGTAAGTGGAGCTTGGGGCTATTGGCTGGGCTACTCCTCCCGTCCTTCCCAAGTGCCGGCCCCATCGTGCTTAGGGAATGTGCAGGGGTAATACTAATGATCGTCACTCACCTTCTATGTGCCAGCACAGGTCCGTGCTTTAGGTGATTCTCCCCATAAGCCATTGAGGTGGTTCCTATTGGTCCCATTTTCCAGGTGAGGAGACTGAGGCTTGGTGAGGGTTAAGAACCCTGCCTCACGTCCCACAGCCCACAGATGCACAATTGCAATGGAAACCCACACCCATCTGACTCCAGAGAGTGCTCTTTCTTCTATTTTATCAAACTTGAAACAAAAGGAGCCACTGGCTTCCTTAGTGTTGGCAGGCATGTCCTTGAGCCCCCAAGGAGGGTGCTGGGTTACTGCTACTGAAGATTCGGCAGTCCATAGCTGGCTGGGGAGGAGCCAGGGCTGGGACTCTGGAGTGCCACGCGGTGCTTTCCACTGTCCTGTGCTGTCCTCAGGGTGGGCTTCCCTTCAGCCCCCCAGCCTCCCCCGACAACTGAGTTTCTCCTCTCTCCATCTCTCCAGTCTGTGAGTCCTGCCAGGAGTACTTTGTGGATGAATGCCCGAACCACGGTCCCCCGGTGTTTGTGCCTGACACGCCGGTGCCCGTGGGCATCCCGGACCGGGCTGCCCTCACCATCCCACAGGGCATGGAGGTAGTCAAGGACGCCAATGGGGAGGATGACGTGCGGTGCATAAATGAGGTTATCCCCAAAGGCCACATCTTCGGCCCCTATGAGGGGCAGATCTCCACCCAGGATAAATCAGCTGGCTTCTTCTCCTGGCTGGTGAGTGTCCCGGGCAGTGCCATGCGAGAGGGCGCCCAGGAACATGGAAGGGAACCAGCAGAGGGAGCCCTCCGCTGGCCCAGCCTGGCTCCAGAACTTTTCTGCTGCCATTCCCGGGCAGGTGGATGATGAACCCTGCTGTCCCCTTGCCCTAGCTAAGTGGCGGCAACCCTTGGTGGCTGAGGGCCATGCTGAAAGGCTCCTCTGGCAGGTGTCAGCAGAATCAGTGGTGGGGTGACTTCCCTGTGCGTCCTCCCTGTGTGTGTCAGCGGGGGGCCACTCAGTGGCATTTACGAAGGGTTTTCCCAGGTCCTCCTCTGGGCTGGTGACTCAGAGCTGGAGACCGTGAGGATGCAAAGCATGACATTCGGCTGAAAAGCAGTAATGTCAGGTGCTGGACTAGGTGCTGGGGGGAAAGCCTTCGATAAGACAGACAGGGTGGCGGACCACAGGGAGCAGACAGTCGTGGTGGGCAGAGCGGGCACCGAGCTAGCATGTGCACACGTGGTGACGCTGCTGGAGGGGGAACACGGGACTCTGGGAACAGCGGGAGATGGCCGTGGTCATAGTGCTTGGGAGTTCAAGGCCCGCGGCCCAAGTTCATTATGTCATCCGGCTCTGCTATTTACTATCTCATGTGCCCTTGGACGAGTCATTTAACCTCTACGTGCCTGTTCTTTAACAGGGTAATCATAGCTAATGGTGAGGATTAAATGAGTCAGCGCTGTAATGTTCTTAGAGTTGTGCTTGCCCCTAGTAAGTTTGCAGCGAATATCAGCCGCTGTTATTGTTGTTGTTGGCCTATGTGAGCGGTTTGGGCAAGATTTCCTTTAGCCAGAGACTTGAAGAGTGAGTAGCAGTGGTGGAGGGAGAGTGGAGGGAAATGGAAAATTGCTCCGCGCAGGCAGAGCGGCCGAGAGAGAGGAATTCTGAGAAGTCCCCTGTGGCCACAGCGACGAGCCAGAGGGCTGAGTGGCAAGGAGAGCGGGGCAAGGACCGGATTACGCTGCATCTCCTGAGCCAGGGTCCGTGCAGCATCCCTCCCGTGGGCCTGGGAAGCCACGGGGGCATCTCAAGCGAGTTGGGAGAGTTGGGATTCCAAGTGGGAGGCTGGGATGGGGGTTCAGGTAAGGAATGAGGGTGGTTTAAATGTGGGTGCCAGCGGTGGACACACGTGAGAGAGATTTGGGAGGGAGAATCCCCAAGCTTTATTGATGGATGGGATGCGGAGATGCGAAGAGGGGTTTTCAAAGGTATAAAGAGGGATTATCCGAGACAACTCTTAGGAGTCCAGCTTGAACAGAGATGGGGGGTGTGGGACGGAAGAGGAAGGCAGGCTAGCCGGTAGGAAGACCGTAGGAAGGCGTCCTGGTAGTTGGGCTGTGACCGAAGGGAGAGAAGACCCACCCCACCGGGGAGGACTGGCGAGGGGCCACCAGGCGGGTGAGACAGCGTGCCCAAAGGCCCTGTGGCAGGAGAGACGCAGCGTGGCTGAGCAGCAGAAAGAAGAGCCGTGTGCCTGGAGCGCAGCCAGCACCAGGGCCTGGAGGAGGAAGTGCAGGCTTGGCCACGTAAAGCCCAGTGGTCCAAACTGGGACGTTTGTTCTTTACTTTAAGAACAATGGGAAATTTTACTTACGTTTTGAAAGGGTGTTTTCGCCACGGCATGGAAAACGAATGGGCGGTGAATGGACGTACACACCCGGGTCAGAGGGCTGTGGAGGTCCTCTCGACCGTGGTGGAGGCTTTGGCCGGGGAGGGAGCAGAGCCGTGAAGACGAGTGAAGGGGTTTGTCAACTGTTTCAGAGATGAAGACATTTGACTTGCAAATAGACTAACTGGCCCCAGGAAGGGAGAGGGAAGCGTCCAGAACAACCGGGGCTGGGCTCCCCTCCCAGCAGGTCAGGAGCAGGGCCTTTCCCTGGGAAACGGAGTCTGCGGAAGGGGGCGGGGTTGCGGGAGAGATCCTGGTCTTGGCTCGGACTCGTAGGGTTGCAGTGACACCGAGATATCCTAGTACAACATCCACAAGGCAGTTAGACATGTGGGCTTGGAGCTTGGAAAGGAGGTTTGGAGATGTCGTTTCTTAAGTCACCTGTGCAGAGGTGGTCAGAGGGGCCAGGGGTATGGGCGGCACTCCCCAGGGAGCACCGGCTGAGTGAGAGGTGGGTGGGGGCGGCCTGGGACTAAGCTTTGAGGAACTTCAGCCATTAGCGGTTCCGAAGGGGAGCCCCATCCCGCAAGGGAGACAGAGAGAACAGCCCGAGAGGTGGGAGGCCACGACGGCCCACAGTGGCAAAGTCTGCTGAGAAGCCGAGCAGGAGAAGGACTTAGAAGTGGCCATTGGATTTAGTGCCAGGGAAGCCATCGGCCACTTTAGCAGGCGCTGTCACTCTGAGACAATGGTCCTCAACCTGGAGCAATTTGCTCTCCCCTCCTCCTGCCCATGGGACACTTGGCCATGTCTGGAGACATATTTGGCCCTCACACCTCAGGACAGGGATATGCTACGGCATCTGGAAGGCAGAGGCCGGGGAGCCTGCTCAGCGTTTTGTAATGCACAGGCCAGCCTCCCACGGCAAAAAGTGGTCAGGCCTCCAACGCCAACAGTGCCGTGCTTGAGAACCCTTGCAGGTGAGTGACGAGACGGAGACCTTATCAGAATGGAGCTGGCAGTGGAGTCACTTCTCGGGTGTTTGATTAGCGATAAGAAGGGGAGGAGAGAGACCGGAGATAGGAAGGTGACGGCTGGAGGAAGACAGGGGGTCAGGGGAGTCTGTGGATGACAGACGTGAACACCCGTGAAAACCCCAGTGGGTGGAGTCTTAGAGCGGAGAGAAGGCATGATGGGTAAGCTTTTACATTACCTGAGAATGTTCAGGTGGAGACATTGCTTATGGAAAGGCGGAGGGTCAGTGTTTACTTTTCCTGTCACTGGAGGGATGTCCTGGTGGTCTGGAGCAGGTAGAGGGGGGTGGGCTTAGTCAACCAAATAATGGCCCCCCCCCCGCAAAGGTACCCGTGTCCTGATCCCTGCAACCCGTGACTGTGTTATCTCATATGGCAAAAGGGCCTTTGTAGATGTGGTTATATTAAGGATCTCGAGATGGAGAAACTGCCTTGGATTATTCAGTGGGCCCAGTGTGATGACACGCGTGTTTGTAAGAGGGAGGCAGGAGAGCCAGAGGCAGAGAGCAAAGACGGGAAGACGCCCTCCTGCTGGCCTTGAAGATGGAGGAAGGAGCCACAGAAGGCGGGCAGCCTCCAGAAGCTAGGAAAGACGAGGAAACAGGTTCTTCTGTGGAGCCTCCAGGAAGAACTCGGCCCTGTGACGTCTTGATTTTAGGGCTTCTGACGCCCAGAACTGCAGGTTCATAAACGCGTGCTGTTCGCAGCCGCTGTGTTTGCAGTGGTTTGTCTTGGCAGCAGTAGGAAACAAATCCAGTGTTTCGGGGCCACCTGCTAAAAGGAGCGGAGAGCTGGAGAGAGGTGGTCTGACGTTGAGGAGAATGCAGAAGGCGAGTCCTGTGTGGAGGTGTACAGTTTGGGGTGCACAGGAGACGCCCTGGGGGCGCTGCCAGAGGCCCATCGGAACACGGGGGTCTGCAGCTGAGGGGATAGAAGGGGAAACTCAGGGTATCAGTTGAGGCATTTATGCAGTGGAAGCCCTGGGAAGGGACGGGCAGTGGGGTCAGTGCTGTGGAGGGGGAGCTTGAGGACAAGGACAGCCCACCTGGCTCGGCCAGCCCACAGGTCCCAGTGTCCTTGGTGGCGACAGTTTGACAGCAAAAGCCACATTGCCATGGACTGAAGAGCGAGTGAGTGGGAGGTGAGCAGAGGGGCCCAGCAAGGGTGGCTGGCTCCTTTTACGTCTGGCTGCTCATCGAGCAATTATTATACGACAGGTGTATACCACAATAGTCCCACAGTTGGAGGTTGCCGCCCTTACTCAGAGGAAGGAGTCCGGGACTGAAGAGGTTAAGTGGCCCCAACTTCCAAGCTGGTACGGAGTAGACTTGGGCTCCTTCAGAGGGAGCCCCTGTCCTCGATGCTGTGGGGCTGTGAAGAGTTCCTTCATGGGAAGGCGTGCCTAGGGGAGTGGTGAATGGGGTCGTGTGTGCTACCCCAGACAGAGCCGCTCCCAAGCACTCGGCCCTGAGCGGGGAGCTCTAGGGGTAGCAGAAATGCACGAGGTTTGCTCTCTGCTCTTCTGGAACTTGTGGTCCAGCTGCGGGGAGCAGGGACCGAGGTGAATGAGGGGGGAGGTAGCTTATTCCCAACCGAGGAACTCGGAGGCAGAGAGTTGCTCGTGACTGCAGTGCTGCAGAAGGCTCCAGGGGCAGGGACAGGGGATGTGGTTTTGGCTGGGCAGATTGGAGATGGGTCTTGAAGGATGGAGAGAAGTTCAACAGAGGAGGGTGATGGCTTCTCAGCCTGCGGTGGCCAGGGGAGCAAACCTAGGGCCATGCCCAGGGCAGGGCTGCTGGGATCCCCTCCTTTTCCCACCAGAGTCAGTCTACACCTGGGCACAGTGCGCCCAGGCAGGCTGGGGTCCGTAAAGCAGGCAGCTTCCCCAGGTTTGCGGGCTGCTGTGCATCTGGGGTCTGAAGAAAACACAGACTAAGAAGCCCCAGAATTGCACCCTGGTCATAGACCAGCGCCCCGTCAGGAGTGGGTGTGGCCCATGGTGCTGGGGTGTGGCCGGAGGCCAGCAGGCTGCTCCCCTGCAGGCTCCTTCCTGGGATCGGGAACTGTAGCCTGTGGACGGGTGAGGGGAGGGACTGGGTGGAAGTCACATGTGGAGGCTTTGACCTCTGCGCTTCAGAAAAGTGAGGCGTCTTAAAGGCCTCGAGAGAATAGGTGTGCAAAATGGCTCAAGAAAGCAGGGCCCGTGTGTGCATGCATGCGTGTGTGTGTGTGTGTGTGTGTGTCCCAGACGATGGGTTGGATCAGGACCCGGAAGCCTCATGTTCTAAATAAGCCACATTTGTTGGTCAAAT